ATATATACACACACACACACACACACACACACACACACATATACACACACACACATTTAACCCATGGCTCCCCACCTGGAACTATCTGCATGACCTCTGAATTCTGCCCAGTCTCTGGCTTCTTCTTGTCATTATGCATGGGAAAGAGCAGGTAGAGAAAGAGGTCCTTTTCTCCCTTTCTCACAATACAAGAACTCGTGGGCACTCCATGAAACTGCTGAGCGGTCGGGTTAGAATGGATAAGAGGAAGTCCTTCTTCACCCAAAGAGTGATTAACACATGGAATTCACTGCCACAGGAAGTGGTGGTGGCTACAAGCACGGACGGCTTCAAGAGGGAATCAGATAAGCATATGGAGCAGAGGTCCATCAGTGGCTATTAACCACAAGGTATAGATAGGGGCTTTGGGGCAAGTGATGCTCTGTCTTCTTGGTGCTTGGGGGGGTCAACAGTGGGAGGGCTTCTAATGTCCTGGCCCCACTGGTGGACCTCCTGATGGCACTGGTATTTCTGGCCACTGTGAGACACAGAGTGTTGGACTGAATGGGCCTTTGGCCTGATCCAACATTGGCGTCTCTTATGTTCTTATGTTCTTGTCAACCAGCTATCCGACTCAAGTCTGGGGTCCTCTTCACCGGCAACATTCCAACTGCTGAACGGCTTCCTTCCAGCCCCTAACTTAAGCAGCTGTGCGTGTAGCTCCATCCACGTATTACACTATCCTTGTAACTGAGTCTGCCTGCGCAGATGAGGCAATCCACTTGGGAACAAGTCTTATAGCAGAAGACCCACGCAATGGTTCAAGGATGTGGGGACATTGGCCCTATGTATGTGAGTAGCTATGTAGCCATCCATCCCAAACCATCAATGCTCAGGTCAGTTAGGCATCCAAGATGGGGGGGATGGACGTTTTTCACTTGGCCATAACACAGTGTTTGAGATTCAAGAGGAACCCCGTATGTTGACGGCAGAGGTCAGAAAAGAAAGAAGACTGGGTTTCAAGGCCGGGTAATGTGGAAGATTTGAATTTTGGATCTGCACAAATGTTCTCTTGGCACTGCAAACTGCGCATCTTGTGTCTGGTTTGCACTTTCTTAAAAACCTTAGCGTGGGTAGGAAGGTGTGGATGGATCCAGGACTCGGATCTTGGAGTTGTAGTAGATAACTCACTGAAAATGTCGAGACAGTGTGTGACTGCAATAAAAAAGGCCAAAGCTATGCTGGGGATTATTAGGAAGGGTATTGAAAACAGATCAGCCAATATCATAATGCCCCTATATAAATCAATGGTGCGACATCATTTGGAATACTGTGTGCAGCTTTGGTCACCACACCTCAAAAAGAATATTATAGCTTTGGAAAAAGTGCAGAAAAGGGAAACTAGAATGACAAAAGGGTTGGAACACTTTCCCTATGAGGAAAGGTTAAAACGCTTGGGGCTCTTTAGCTTGGAGAAATGACGGCTGAGGGGTGACATGATCGAGGTTTATAAGATTATGCATGGGATAGAGCAGGTAGAGAAAGAGGTACTTTTCTCCCTTTCTCACAATACAAGAACTCGTGGGCACTCCATGAAATTGCTGAACGGTCGGGTTAGAACGGACAAAAGGAAGTACTTCTTCACCCAAAGAGTGATTAACACATGGAATTCACTGCCACAGGAAGTGGTGGCAGCTACAAGCATGGACGGCTTCAAAAGAGAATTAGATAAGCATATGGAGCAGAGGTCCATCAGTGGCTATTAGCCACAAGGTATAGATAGGAACTCTCAGTCTGGGGCAAGTGATGCTCTGTCTTCTTGGTGCTTGGGGGGGTCAACAGTGGGAGGGCTTCTAATGTCCTGGCCCCACTGGTGGACCTCCTGATGGCACTGGCATTTCTGGCCACTGTGTGACAGAGTGTTGGACTGGATGGGCCTTTGGCCTGATCCAACATTGGTGTCTCCTATGTTCTTATGATGCACCAGCCAAGAGAAGATGGCGAGAGATAAAGACCGACTCCCCCATGTGGCTTACCTACAATGAGCTGGTGGCAGAGTTCACATGGAATGTGTTTCTTGAAGACGTGCTCTTGGAAGCTGTGTGTCTTCATGGGCTTGAGAGGCGCCAGAGACCGGGGAGTTGCCCTGGGAGAATGGTCTGCCTCCGCGGGAACTGGGGGTGGGGATGGGGGTAGCACAGAATCCGGAGGGCTGAGCAGCACGTCGGAGGGGAGCTTGAACTCGCTGTTGGAGCGCAGGAAGAAATTCTCCACACTTTTGCTCCGCAGGATGGTTTTCAGTGAGAGCGAGCGCTTGAAACGCTGTAGCTGGCGAGGAAAAAGAAAACAGGAAATAAGAGGAGCTCTATCCAGCGTAAAAGTCCGAGGCACAAACTGCCAGACTCCTTTATGGGGTTGCCGGATCACACACCTGTTGGGCAAATCAGTGTTCCCTCTAAGCTGAGTTAGTGTGAGCTAACTCAGTTTTTTAGCCCCCGGCTCACACGCTTTTGTCTCAGCTCAGGAAGGAGGGCTCCACAGCAAACTAACTTATGCAGTAGCCAAATTGCTCGCCCACAGCTTTAATGCTGGTAGCTCACAAAGTAGGATTTTTGCTCGCAGGACTCCACAGCTTAGAGCACTGATGGCGAACCTTTTTGGGACCAAGTGCCCAAACTGCGACCCAAAACCCACTTATTTATCGCAAACACGGCAATTTAACCTGAATACTGAGGTTTTACTTTAGAAAAAACAACTCATACATTAACTTCAGATGATCCAAACAAAGTAAGGAAAGCAATCCCAAATGCTTTCATTTGCTCAAAATTATTTGACAGAGAATTCGACACTTTAATGATGGTCTGGGCCTGGCTAGGGCGATGGCACGTGTGCCCACAGAGAGGGCTCTGAGTGCCACCTCTGGCACCCGTGCTATAGGTTCGCCTGGCTTAGAGGGAGCATTGTTGGGCATCCTCCCCAGGCACCATCTCATGTCTCCAGGAATTTCCCAGGCTGGAGCTGGCAACCCAAGTTGGGAGTCCCGTAACAAGCCTTCCAAACCAGCCTAGCCTCTGCTAGAGGTGCAATTTTTCCAGAAATTCTGAAATAACTGGAAACAAGTGTTTTTGCCCAATTATTTATCGGGTAAGGATTAAATGTGGGGGGAAATTCGAATATATCAAATACATATTTTCTTCTCGAATCTAAACTCATTCTACTGCTCTGACAACGTAACGCAGAAGAAGAAGAAGAAGAGATTGGATTTATCCCCCGCCCTTCGCTACCCAAAGGTGTCTCAGAACGGCTTACAAACTGCTTTCCCTTCCCCTCCCCACAAGAGACACCCCATGAGGTAGGTGGGGCTGAGAGAGCTCTGACAGAAACGGCTCTCTTTCAAGGACAGCTCTGACAGAACTATGGCTTGCCCAAGGCCATCCAGCCAGGTGCAAGTGGAGGAGTGGGGAATCAAACCCGGTTCTCCCAGATTAGAGTCCGCGCACTTAACCATTACACCAAACTGTGTAACTTAGACTATAAAACTGTATTATTTGTCATATGTATGGAATTTAAAATCGTAAAATCGTAAATGATTGAATTGTTTTCTACAAGCAAAATTGCGTATGCACCCAGTACCAGAGAGCGGGAAAGTGCCAGTTTGGTGTAGTGATTAAGTGCACGGACTCTAATCTAGGACAACCAGGTTTTATTCCCCACTCCTCCACTTGGGCAAACCATAGTTCTCTCAGAGTTGTTCTCTCAAGGACAGTTCTCACAGGGTGTCTGTTGTGGGGAGAGGAAGGGAAAGGAGTTTGTAAGCCGCTCTGAGACTCTGAGTGAAGGGCAGGGTATAAACCCAACCATCATGACCACCACCACGCACCCACCTGGTATAGCAAAAAAAGGAGCCATATCTTCAGCCATATCTAAAAACATGCAAATCTGGGCCAAACTAGATGCTCCATTCCGTATTGCTAAATGCGGTGGCTTCTATGGAGATAAATCAAGATGGGCAGCCACGCTGGTATCTGAAGAAGTGACTCACGAAACCTCATCCCCTCCCACAAATTGTGTTAGCCTTTAAGGTGCTCCTGGACTCTTGCTCTTTTCTACCGCTACTAACAACGGCTACTCGACTGGATCTATCCTAGATGCACCACAGAAGATAACCAAAGTGTCTTCTTCCTGTTTTTTTACTCTAACACCGTTCCACAAGGGCAGCAGCGACAGGCAGGGAAGATGCTTAACCTTTCCCCCCACAGGGCTGTTTGTCTTCTAAAAAGTGCCCACAGGGGAAAAGCTCCGTGGAACAGCTGCTAGTGAGGAAAGATGATGAGAAAGGCACATTTCCAGGCAGACGCTTCCAGCCTGCCTCACTGCAGTGATGATAAAGCAAAGGAAACACAGGCAAGAGGCAGCAAGTCACCGCCGTCAGGGCAGGTTACGGGCCCGGCAGAAGGGGCCAGATCCATTCAACAGCAATTGTGTGGACAGGAGCAACGACACAGATGTTGCGATGTGTGGGCTCAGCTCTGGCTGGCTCATAAGTCGCCTCGGGGCTACATTCTCTGATCGTCTTTATCTCTTGCTAGCAAGATTAGCCAGCAGTCTATTCAACATACGGCAAGCGCTAGCGTTTTTAGGCCAGCCAAAGGGATTTGGAAAAGAACGGTTTTTATTGCCAGCTGGTGGGGAAAGGGGATGGCTAACCCCCAGAAGCAGTTTTCAGCACCTGCCCCATAGTGAGACTCAGGAATGAGAAGAATGGGGATATGTGACAATCACTTTTTAAAAACAGCAAATCTACATCCAGTCCAGTGTTCCCTCTAAGCTGAGTCAGTGCGAGCTAGCTCACAGTTGTTTAGCCTCCAGCTCACACATTTTTTGTCTTAGCTCAGGAAGGATGGCTCCAGAGCAAACTAATTTATGCAGCAGCCAAATGACTCGCTCACAACTTTAATGCCAGCAGCTCACAAAGTGGAGAGTTTGCTCGCAAGACTCCACAGCTTAGAGGGAGCACTGATCCAGTCCCCCAGCTAAAAATACTGCAAACGGCAAGACCTTAACCTTGGAGGAGCTTAACTCCAACACCTGGAATCCAATCTAAGCACAGCCTGCAACGGGAAAGGGCTCAACGGCCATGGCATGAGTCAGGAAGCGGCAGGTTAAGCTCAACCATAACTTCACACAGGCGAGACAGCCAGGAGGGCTTGTGGCTCCATAGCAGAGCGTCTGCTTTGCACACAGAGGGTCCTGGGTTCAGTCCACAGCATCTCCAGTTAAAAGGGTTAGGTGATGCGAATGACTTCCACTTGAGTGTTCCCTCTAAGCTGAGTTAGTGTGAGTTAGCTCACAGTTTTTAAGACTCCAGCTCACACATTTTTGCCTTAGCTCAGGAGGGATGGCTCCAGAGCAAACTAATCGATGCAGCAGCCAAATCGCTCGCTCACAACTTGAATGCCAGTAGCTCACAAAGTGGAATTTTTTGTTCAGAAGACTCCACGGCTTAGAGGGAGCACTGCTTGAGACCCTCACCTGAAAACAAAGTGGCTTTGTACGTTCACTCTTTTCTCAGCCGTACCCCCCTGCCTCATGGGCACTGTGGGGGTGATAATGCTGGCTTACCTTGCAGGGCTGTAAGTGAGAATTACTGAGATAATATATGTGGTGTAGAACATTCAATATACAGCTTAAATTGCTATTAGAAAGATCTGGGGAATAGTATACACAGTAAACGTTTATACCATCAGGGAGAGGCTAGGAATGAATTATTCTTTATGTAATTCTGAGAGACATTTTTCTTACATCGAGTCACAGCCGACTGACGGCAACTCCGTGGGGCTTTCAAGGCAAGAGAACGTTCAGAGGTGGTTTGGCACTGCCTGCCTCTGTGAAGCAAACCTGGGAGGTCTCCCATCCAAATACTAAACAGGGTCAACCCTGCTTAGCTTCCAGGATCTAATGCAGTATTAGGTTGTTTTACGGGGTTGTCAGGTCGTACCTGGGTCCTGGCGGAGGGCTCCAGCCCGGCCCTGGAGTCTCCTGGTGCACGCACTTCGCACCACAATGACATCACCCAGAACTGACATCATTGCGCTGGACACGTTGTGCAGGGTATGCTACAGGTGCTAGAGCCCCCCCCCCCGCACAATGTGCCTGGCATGATGTCACCTCTGTGTGATGCCATTGCGCCGAGCATGTCAGGCATGACAGGGCTCTTTGGGGGTGGGGCTCCCCCACTGGTCAGATGGCCGGTGGTAGATTGGGGTCCCAGAAAGCGGGGGAACCCCCACCCCCATTGGGGGGTTGGCAACCCTATTGCTTTACCAACGGGGAACAGAGGCCAAAAAGAATGCTTTACCCCCGCTGGGACCAGGAATTGGCGGCAGGGGTCAGACTTAAATCTCGGCCCCCCTTTACTTCCCACTGCACTGAAGATGCTTGATCTTACCGATCGCACAGCAATGCCATTTTCTTTTAAAAGAAGTGTCTCAATACGGGTGAGGTTGACCAATTGTCAGTTGAAAGGAAAGCGCATGAAACGGCCTCCTACTGAATCAGAACTTTGGTCCTTCGAGCTCAGTACTGGCAGGACTCGGACTGGCAGTGGCTCTCCAGGGTCTCAGGCAGAGAAAAGTCTTCCCCATCACCTCTTGCCTGGGCCCTAGAGACGCTGGGGATTGAACCTGGGACCTTCCGCACGCAAAGCAGAAGCTCTACCACTGAGCCACAGGCCCCCCTCCCCGAGAATGGGAGCTTTAAGAAAACCCTAACATCAAACAGGAGCATAGCAGTGGCATTTTTAGGGACATGAAGCAACTGGATTCATAGAAGAGGCAAAGCGGCTGAGAGATGCTCATTGGCAGGGACGTCTCTGGCTGCCAGGCTATTTCCACTGTGCCCCGGAGCAGGGCACCAGGATGCCTGGTGTGGCAGAGATGTCTCAAGGGGCACATGCCATCGCTTGCTGGCCACCTGCCAGCCCTTCGGCTCAAAGCCATCCCAGGGTCTGACAGACAGATGGAGAGAGCTGCACGTGGAACACTGAGAGAGGAACACCCAACAGGGCAAAGAGACTGAAACTCTTGTTGTATGCTGGGGAGGGAGCAATGCGTTTCCTTCCCAAGAATTCGTGCCACTTGTGGCTCCTTCCAGCAAAGGGCATTCTTGGGCTAGGACCTGTGAGCTCTGGGTGTCAGCTAATGCTATGAATCCACAAGGGTTAAGCTGACACTAAATATTATAAACATAAAAAATTTATTCAGGTGTACACATTTTTTAAAAAACTTAGACTCATTAAAAATATTCACATTCAGACATAAAAAATTTCT